TTAATATAGACCGAATCTTTTCTACATTAAAGAAAAAGTCAATTTTCTTTTAGATTTTACTATTAACAATATATTTAACAGCTATGGTTTAAGATTTCTGGTTTTTTTTTGGTTAACTACAATTTTTTTATGATTAGTGCTGAGGGTTTAAATGTATGAATCAAAATTTCCAAAATTAAAAAAAATATATAGATTAATTGTTTTAAATTTGATATAAGATTCAAATTATTTGCGTAATTGTTAGATTAATTTAATTTTTTGTTGAGTTATAATAAGGGATAGTGAGATTGAGACTAACCTCCGTACTGCGTCGCGCCGGAGAAGTGGCCGTCGATGTGAAATGAGGAGTCCGGTGACCGGAGGAAGAAGGAGTTGTTTGGAGAACGAAATGAAAAGGGCTCTCACCAAAGCACTTATCGCCTTCTATCTCAACGAAACTCTCTTTCCGGCGACTACTACTACTCGTCGGTTCTGACCCGCGTTCCGACGAAACCGCGTTTCCGTCAGCGTTATCCAAACGCGGTTTTTGTTTACGGTTCGTAAGCCGCTTCAAGACTGAACCAAACATCCCAAACCCGTTTCCTCTGGTCCGAGCTTTGTTGTTGGCCTTCTCCGACTGCTGTTTCTGAATCCTCGCCGCTGCTTCCAAGAGAATTGCGGCGGTTCTCGCCGGAATCTGGAGGAAAACTCGACCGTCACGTGTCTTCTTCTTCGCCGGAGACCGTAGCTCAAAGAGAGGAGAATTTCTCGGGTCGGGAGATTTATAATGAGTGGTCGCGAAGAAACAAGACCTCTCGCAGGAGAAGAAACCAGGAGGAACTTTGTTGCCGGAGACGGAGAAAGTGTCGGACTTTCGTTTCTTGAGACGCAAATCGGAGTAACCCATCTGAGAACGAAGGTCGGAGATGTAATGGTTGAGATGAAAAGGCTCTTGGTCATCTTCAAGAAGCTCATGTAATAAGTGTTTCTTCTTCTTCTCAGCCATGGAAAGACAAAATTTTACTTAGCTTTTTAGTTTGTTCACTCTCTTTCAAATGTCAAAG